CTTTCTTCACAGTCCAACTCTCACATCCATACATGACCACTGGAAAAACCATAGCCTTGACCAGACGGACCTTTGTTGGCAAGGTAATGTCTCTGCTTTTTAATATGCTATCTAGGTTGGTCATAACTTTCCTTCCAAGGAGTAAGTGTCTTTTAATTTCATGGCTGCAGTCACCATCCACAGTGATTCTGGAGCCCCCAAAAATAAAGTCTGACACTGTTTCCACAGTCTCCCCATCTATTTCCCACATCACATAGTGACTGCTTAATAAGAATCCATTTAATGAGTGATCAAAGCAGGTGTGCAATTTAACAAGACCCAGAAAAAAAAATGAAGAAGAACTATCTAGAGACAGGGAGACCTAATAGACAGTTACTGTTAATATCTAAACATGAAGTAATAGAGACCTGGAACAGGAGAGAGGAAAGTGGACTGAAAGAGAAAAAGACCTGGAGAAACTTGTGAGTTGGTAGTTTACTGGTCACGAAAGGTAAAAGAGTGGGAGTAATCAAGAACCACCAAATTCACAGGGATAACCAGGTGACAGAAAGCAGAAAAATATTAATTACTATGGCACTATTGGTGGCTCAGATGGTAAAGACTCTGCCTGCAATGTGGGAGAACCGGGACTGATCTTTAGGTCAGAAAGATCCCCTGGAGAAGGATCTGGCAACCCACTTCAGTATTCTTGCCTGGAGAATCCCATGGATAGACGAGCATGGCAGGCTACAATCCATGGGGTGGCAAAGGGTCTAACATGACTGAGCGACTGATAGACACATGGCCCTATTATTAACAGATAAACCCTAAAGTTTAAGTGGTTGAACAGATAGGTATTTCTTCTCATACATCAAGACTATATGGCTATTCCTGATGAACAGATGGCTCTCCTTCTAGGGGTGTAGACACCTTTCATCTTGAATAGGTATCTACCAAGATCATCTGCTTAAGGTGCGCCACAAATGTATGACTTTTATGGTCAGGAAATAGCAAATTTCACTTATATTCTATTGGCTAGATCTCATTTATATAGCCCAGCCAACTGCAAAGGAAGGCTGAGAATACATGTAGTCTAGCTGAATACTCAGGAAGAAAAGAAAATGTTTGGCAAACTTGTTTCTGTCTCTTCTAACATAGATAACAAGAGGTGGTAGGAAATTTCAGGGAATGAAGGAAGAGTGAAAATTTGTGGTCTGTTTATAATCACTAGTTGGATGAGAAATATTTGAGTTGGTTCTTCCTAAAGCAACAGAGAAAACTGAATCATTATTCACAAAATTCACATGCATTTCTTTAAATGTAATAATCATGTTACATTAGGGAAGTCTCTACTTTGTAATACTATGTATTATATATTATAGTTATCTATCTTCTATACACAAAAATATCCTATCATTAATAGAATAAGCTGTAAACTTACTTTCTCAGTTGTGGTTAGGGATGCTTGCAAATTTAAAAATAACCTTTTTGCCCGATCACCTTTGTATCCAATTTTTAAAGTCAGGGTTGGTGGAATAAACTTAAAGCCCATGGTCTTGCTAGCAAAAGGTCATGGCAGATGTTTACAGTGCATTTTTATAAATGTGATTCACTTACCTATTTTTCAAAATGTTATTACACTCTAGCCAAAAATTTGCCTCTTCTGGCCATTATGTGATAAGTTCATGAGACACATCCACAAGATATATCCAGCAGTTATAGCCTTAGGCCAAAAAAAAAGAGGTCACCTAACTCACTTTTGTTCCCTTAGGTAATTTACTCAGGTCCCATTAACTGACATCAAAGTCAAGTTTATGAGAGAAAAACACCAACAATGTAAATCCCAGTAGTTTGGAAGTGAATTAAAAAGCTCCCAAATCAGCACTTTCCTCAAATGTTAAATAATTCATTGTGACATTATAGATACAAGCCTCCAGCAAAAGTTACACTTGAACAATTAAGGAAGTAGGAGCCAAACAAATGACTTTAGGGATAGAGAAACAAATGAATGGCTTCTTGTAGTACTATGCCAAATTACATTTTCACATTAACAAGTCTGTAGAACACCCAAGCATCACCAGTGACTTACTAGATAAAGTCTGATTACAGAAACACAGCCTGGAACCACATACCATCTCCTAAATGTAACTGTGGATTCTGTACACTTGGGTATGAAACCCATTTATACCATTTGGGGAATTTTTACATTTGTAATGTACTACCTACTCTTTTGCAAAGTTCTTTTATAATATTCATATTACAACAACCATCAACAAAATACATTATGTTCCTATGAAGAATCAGAAGGTAATGTAGCTGTTTCTTAGAGGCTAGATTAGAGATTGGAAACACAAGGTCACAACATAGTGCACTGTACATAAAGGTAACAGCATCTGCATAGTAGAAATACATTTCAGATTTAAATTCCAACTCTATCATTTTGTACCTAGAGAATTTTAGACAAGTTTTAGTATCAGTTTTTGTTCCCTCTTCTATAAAATGGGAAAGATTCATTTATGCAGCAAATATTTAATGAACACTTATTAGGTCTCAAAGACTTCCAAGTGTTATTTTAAGATTAGTGATAGTAAACCAGCAGATATTCATTAGAGATATGTTATTGTTGTCCAGTCACTCAGTCATGTCCAACTCTTCATGACCCCCTGGACTGCACACGCTGGGCCTCCCTGTCCCTCACCACCTCCCAGAGTTTGCCCAAGTTCATGTCCATTGCATCGATGATGCCATCCAGCCATATCATCCTCTGTCTCCCTCTTCTCCTTCTGTCTTCAATCTTTCCCAGCATCAGGGTCTTTTCCAATGAGTAGGCTGTAGGCATCAGGTGACCAAAGTATTGGAGCTTCAACTTCCAATGAAGCGTCAGTCCTTCCAATGAATATTCAGGGTTGATTTCCTTTAGGATTGACTGGCTTCATCTACTTGCTATCCAAAAATGAAAGTTGCTCAGTCATGTCCGACTCTTTGCGACCCCATGGACTATACAGTCCATGGAATTCTCCAGGCCAGAACACTGGAAGTGGGTAGCCTTTCCCTTCTCTAGGGGATCTTCCCAACCCAGAGATCGAATCCAGGTCTCCTGCATTGCAGGCGGATCCTTTACCAGCTGAGGCACAAGGGAAGCTCAAGAATACTGGAGTGGGTAGCCTATCCTTTCTCCAGTGGATCCTCCCATCCCAGGAATCAAACCAAGGTCTCCTGCATTACAGGTGGATTGCTGCCCAAGGGACTCTCAGAAGTCTCCAACACCACAGTTCAAAAGCATCAATTCTTTGGCGCTTTGCCTTCTTAGCATATTTAGCTCACAACTGTATGTGACTGAAAAGACCACAGCCTTGACTATAACCGACCTTTGTCGGCAAAGTATTGCCTTGCTTTTCATCACACTGTCTAGGTTTGTCATAGCTTTCCTGCCAAGAAGCAATCATCTTCTAATTTCAAGGCTGCAGTCACCATCCACAGTGATTCTGAAGCCCAAGAAAATAGTCTGTCACTGCTTCCACTTTTTCTTCTTCTATTTGCCATGAAGTGATGGGACCCGATATCATGATCTTTTTTTGAATGCAGAGTTTTAAGCCAGCTTTTTCACTCTGCCCTTTCACTTTCATCAAGAGTCTCTTTAGTTCCTCTTCGCTTTCTGCCATAAGGGTAGTGTCATCTGCACATCTGAGGTTATTGATATTTCTCCCTGCAAGTGTGATTCCAGTTTGGGATTCACCCAGGCCAGCATTTCTCATCATGTACTCTGCATAGAAGTGAAATAAGCAGGGTGACAATATACAGCCTTAATGTACTCCTTTCCCAATTTTGAACCAGTCCATTGTTTCATGTCCAGTTCTAACTGTTGCTTCTTGACCTGCATACAGGTTTCACAGGGGACAGTGGAGGTGGTCTTGTATTCCCATCTCTTTAAAAATTTTCCAGCTTGTTGTGATCTACACAGTCAAAGGCTTTAGCATAGACAATGAAGCAGAAGTAGATGTTTTTCTGGAATTCCCTTGCTTTCTCTATGGCCCAATAGATATTGGCAATTTGATCTCTGGTTCCTCTGTCTTTTCTAAATCCAGTTTGTACATCTGGAAGTTCTCAGTTCATGTACTGTTAAAGCCTCACTTGAAGGATTTTAAGCGCTACCTTGCTAGCATGTGAAATGAGCACAATTGTGTGACAGTGATGTGGATTGATTTTTAAAGTAAATCAATAAGATATATTAACCATAAGTCTAAACTTCGAGAAATAGTTCTTTTTGTGAAGAAAATTTCCTCATCACCATGTTTTTGGGTGCTTTTAGTTCCATGTGCCAAAGTCCACCTGCAGACTGTTACTTCTATAGAGGTTTTCAACACAGTGCCAAGTACACTTCTAAGATTAAGCAAAGTTATTGCTGATATATTACTAAAAAACATTTTTTAAATCACATTTTAAAAATCACAACTGAAATTTTAAAGTTTGTTTTATATGCAGCAAAATAACTAATATATACTCATAAATTTATTTTTTAATCTAAATGTGAGATGTAAAAGTTTCTTATTTCAGTTACTTTAATAAAAACCTCTTCACCATAAAAATAAACAAAATAAAGTTAAAGATACAGCACTGAAGTAGATCTCCTAAAATGGTAGCTGCATCATTATATATTCAGCTAAGTTATCCTATTGAATAGGTTTAAAAACCATGAATCCTGGACTAAATGATACAGAGTTCTCTACAGAAATAAAATGGTATCATGATGGGGCAGAAAGGTAGCATTCAATAAAAAAATTTAAATACTCAAGGTAGAAAGGAAAGTATTAGACAAAAACACAAGGGAAAATTTACCAGATTTCCATACAAAGTAGCTAAGACTATTAGATTCGTTAAGAACAATAAAAACCCATGTTTTAACCTTACAAAATATTTTAATCTATCTCTGAATCAGAGAATGACGAAGAACTAAACAGTGATTTCTACTGACCACTGTATGAAAACACAATTTAGAGAGCAATCTCAAAATTTCTTCTTACCATGAATAGATCCCACTGACCATGTCATACTTTTGACACGAAGCATTAACACTGTTGGGCCCAGCTGCCTTAGAAATAAGTAACACCACCAAGCCCCTCAACTGGAGGTTATTCTGGCTGTCGTGTACAAGACCCCTGCCAACAAGAAAAGAAAGAAAATCACAAAATAAGTTGGATGAAGTAAGAGAACTGCTGCAAATACACCCATGCTTCCAAAATCAGACAACGGGACCCGCTGAAAAGAAATAGGATTGTGGAAGAAAGAGTTAACAGGAGGAAGCAGTGGCTGCAGGCAACATCTAGAGAAACCCTGAGCTAGTTTTGAAAGTGATAATCTCAAAACTGTGAGGCCTAATGATTTGGCTTCTTCCTCTTTCTGGGTTTTCCCATGCAATCTTAACCATGTGGTCTGATAACCAGAGGAAGCCATAGTGTTAAACTGTTTTGTGGTAGTTGATTGTAGGTGAAATATAAATTGTATGGCTTCGATGAAGTTGTATTATATGGTGATGACACTGGTAAGGGGAAGGGTACAAAATGATTTCTATCTTCACAGGCTGAAAATTTGAGAAGCAAAATGGAAATGATTGCCACGGGCAAATATTTTACCATTTCTTATTTTTTATGCAAAGAATAATCATTCTAGGCAACGCTAAGCTTTAACATAGAATGTAATTTTTTTGTTATGAATATTCAATTTCTACTATAACTAACGTCAGAAATACTTTCTGAGATTAAATTTTTGTTTAAGTATCACAAAAGGTTGTCATATAAGAACTAAAGGGCAACATTAGAAAAAGAAAAAAAGACAGAAAATTATGCGTAATATATTATAAAGGGCTCAGTCAGTAAAGAATCCGCCTGCAATGTGGGAGACCTGGACTCTATTCCTGGATTGGGAACATCCCCTGGAGGAGGGCATGGCAACCCACTCTAGTATTCTTGCCTGGAAAATCACCATGGACAGAGAAGCCTGGCTTGAGTTAGCCCATTACTTAAGAAAATTTTTACCCCTCATGCTTCCAAGTAAATTTTTAAAAGGGCCCCCTACTCTTTCATTAGTTTCGAAATAAGACATCTTCAGACTTACTGCAAAAATAATAGTTACAGTTCTTTCTTTACTTATATTTTCTCCTTAATCCAGTAAGTGATCTTCAGCAGGTTAGAGAGGTTAATGATTTTTACAAAGAGGTTCTAATTTCCTAGACAAAAAGAAGTTAATTTAAGGTAATTAAGCTATACTATAGCAGAATCACATAATCAACAGAAATATCCAAAGCTCTTTATTATAATGTAACAATCTACTTAAAGCCTACAAACCTGAACTGTAGGGAGACTGGGAAGCATAGTATTTTGGAAGAAAATGTAAAATGGAGTGCTTTCCAAGTTTTTTGCTTTGAATTACAGATTTTAACTCATGCTAATGTGTGTGGGTGCTCAGTCGTGTCCGACTCTTTGCAACCCTATGGACTGTGGTCTGCCAGGTTTCTGTCAATGGTATTTTCCAGGCAATAATACTGGAGTGGGTTGCCAATTCCTCCTCCAGAGCATCTTTCCGACCAGGGATTGAACCTATGTCTCCTGCATTGGCAGGTGGATTCTTTACCACTAAGCCACCTGGGAAGCCCAACATAGGCTACTAGATCCTTAAACATGTTTTACCTGAGGTATATAATTAATAATATTAAAGAGAAGCTGTGAATTGGCTCCTAATTATAGAAAGGGAAAAGAGGAAGGTGAGGCTGTGTGTGTGTTTGTGTGTTTGGGGGGTTGAGCCTGTTTAGAAATGAAAAGCTATGGTCTAGTCAAAGCTATGGTTTTTCCAGTAGTCATGTATGGATGTGAGAGTTGGACTATAAAGAAAGCTGAGCACCAAAGAATTGATGCTTTTGAACTGTGGTGTTGGAGAAGACTCTTGAGAGTCCCTGGACTTCAAGGAGATCAAACCAGTCAATCCTAAAGGAAATCAGTCCTGAATATTCACTGGAAGGACTGATGCTGAAGCTGAAGCTCCAATACTTTGGCCAACCTGATGCAAAGAACTAACTCATTGGGAAAGACCCTGATGCTGGGAAAGACTGAAGGCAGGGGGAGAGAGGGACGACAGAGGATGAGATGGTTGGATGGCATCAACGATTCAATGGACATGAGTTTGAGCAAGCTCCTAGAGCTGGTGATGGACAGGAAGGCCTGGTGCACTGCAGTCCATGGGGTTGCAAAGAGTAGGACATGACTGAGCAACTGAACTGAGGAATGAAAGATATGAGGGTAACACTTAACAACTTAAAACTTAAAACTTAAGTTGTGAGTTTTGAGACAATGGGTCAGGCTGAAGAAATAGTCCTGGCACAGTTCTGATAACACACCTTCCATAATCTTCTCAGAGAGGAGACCTTTCACAGAGGACACGTACATCATCATCATCATCAAAATACAATAGCAGCAGCAACAACAATGAATCCTTACACAGAACCTCACAATATATGCCAGGAACTGTTCTAAGTATTTTACTATATATTGATCAAATTAATTCACAACAACTGCATGAGGAAGGTACCACAATTATTTTGATTTTAGAGACGAAGAGAATGAGGCAAACAGAGAGATCATGCAACTTGCCCAAGATACCGAAGACAGCAAGCCTTAGAACCCTGATAGGGCCAGGATTTGAATCCAAGCCACCTGGCTCGAGTCTATATACATGTTTATCCATTATGCTATAGCGACTCTCCATCTGCTTCATTTCATTCATACACCAACTATTTATTGAGTCAGTAGAATACTGACTGCTTTAGAACCAGGTCTGAAAAATCCTTCTGCCATTTATTAGTTGCATGACTCAGACTATCACTTTTTCTGTAAAATGAGGTTAAACGACACCTGTTTCCTGTAGTCACTGTGTGGAAGAGACAACATGAGTAAAGCATATACCACTGTGGAAGCACATGGAAGGTGATAAGGTAGTCAGAAAACTACATTCTCTCTCCTTATTACTTTTTTGCCATGTATTTTTCTTAATTCTTATATCTTTACAACCCCTTGGGCTACAGCCTGCCAGGCCCCTCTGTCCATGGAATTCTCCAGGGAAGAATACTAGAGTGGGTAGCCATTCCCTTCTCCAGGGGATCTTCCTGACCCAGGGACTGAACCTGGGTCTCCTGCACTGCAGGCAGATTCTTCACCTTTTGAGCTACCGACAATTTCCTGTATTGTTTCTTCTTCTACTCCCCAAAATAACAAAAGTTAAGGAGTTCTTCCTTCTATGAGCCTGAAACATCATATATGGCTGAAACACATTCTACTTTCAGAAAGCACTACCGAAAAGGTCAGGAAAAGAGACTCTAGTGGACCAACTGACAGAAATCAAGAGAGCAGTCAGAAAAGCATACCTTCTAAGCATCAATTTTCACACAAGACAATAGTTGATAATCCAAAGAACAGGTTAACAGTTTGAGTAAATTAAATGTTTCCAAAACACCACTTCTTTAAATTCACTTCATTAACAGCCTTAAAAAAAAGTAATAAGATAATTTGATAATATCCACTACTCAAAATTAAGCTCACAACAAAAATAAGAAATTTAGCGCCTGAGCATAAAAAAGTCCCTAGCATTCTAAATTTGCAGAGATAATGTTTCATATAATCCAGGTCATATTTTCACCTGGAACACTACAATTTATTCTGAGTGCCTCTCTAGGAGAAATACCAACAAGCTGGAACATATCCAGAAGATCATGAAATCATTTACTGCCACACGCTTGGCTGACCAAAAAAAAAAAAAAAAAAAAAAGAATGCTAGCTTGGAGAATAGTAAAGATGGTGTTCTCAAATTTATGCAGCCAAAAATGTAGTAAATGCTTACCATAAGTCAGGCACAGTGCTAGACAGACAGTGGAGAACATAATGACATACACTGGTGTGTTGTGATCTCCCTTCGTGTGGATTATACAATCTGGATTTAAAATAATAATAAAATGTGGCATCAGCTACTTTGGGATATGAACAAGGGCAACTAACATAAGTGGGGTGAAGGAGTGGTGAGAGAGACCTCCCTGAGACCTAAAGAATGAGAGGGAAGGAGTCACAAGATCTGAAGCAAGGAGGGGAAGTAAAAAAAAGAGTGTTTTAGAGACAACATGTGTGAAGGTTCAGAGGAGAGGGAGAAGGACACAACTGTCCCCAGAACCAACAGCACAGGAACCCAGAGTGTGTGACGGGGAGGGTCGGGAGAACTAAAGCTGGAGGAGTACGTGATGACTGTCTGCTCATCTGAAAGGGTACCATATGGACAGAAGACAGGCTTGGTAAGTATTACTTTAGAGACTGACACCAATAGATAGAAAATACAGCTGGTGAATTTTGGCTTCACATGAAGAAATTAAAGAACAGAGGAGCCTCTACTGATGCTGAGTCCCTTGTGGATAAAGATCTTCAAGAAGCTGCACAGCCCCTGACACAGCACATCAAAGGGAAGCCTGCATGACCTGACATCTGTTTTTTTTTCCCCCTGCTCTGTGATTCTTTATGATTTCACTTTACTACATGTAATTATTGAATACTCTTCCCTGGGGCTCAGATGGTAAAGAACCTGCCTGTAATGCGGGAGACCTGGCTTGGGAAGATCCCCTGGAGGAGGGCATAGTAACCCACTCCAGTATTCTTGCCTGGAGAATTCCCATGGACAGAGGAATCTGGCGGGCTACAGTCCATGGGGTCGCAAAGAGACAGCCATGACTGGGTGACTAAGGAGTTTACTTTTCTTTAACTGCAATATGTATAATAAGTATAAAAATTGGGAGAAACCATTAACATCATCAAAGTGTCATAAATGAAAGCAATATTTAGTCCCTTGTAATCTGTATCACTAAAATTCTATAGAATTATTTTCCTTTTGCTTATATATATATATATATTTAAACCTTCATCATTCATTAAACTAATATAGACCAAATACCTTCCATTCATTAAGCACAGATGCCATGATGAGCAAAACCAGGCAAAGAGCTTGTGAAGCTTACAAACTGATGCTAGAGACTGGTAATAATGAAAGAATCACAAATAAATGTAAAATTACAATGCTAATAATGCCATAGAGTTAAAAAGAGATGATACTCTGAAAGCTTACAACTGGAAAC